CTTTTTTGGGCCTATATTCGAATTCACGAACGAAAGCTCCGGGGGGCCAAAAAGAACTACTAAGCAGCGCATTAAAATTATCTAAATTTACTTCAATTTTAAATGAAGCAATATTTCTTTCGTATTTAAAATTAAATTTTCTGATGCTTAAGTCGACAGTTGTAATTTTTGATGAGATATAAAGCTTTATATCGTCTTCGGAAGTGTCTCTCGAAAACCACAACTAGTTTCCTTGTATCAGACTGGAGTACCGGCGGAAGGGGTTGAGTTACTGCGTTACTAGTTGAGGATAGGGAAGGCGGTGGATGTTCTGAAGACGACGCCACCACTTCTATGGGGGAAGGGGAAGATACTTCAGGCTCGTTATTATCCGAAGCAGATTTCGTTACACGCTCTTTTGGGGCTGAGGTTTCTGATGCTGGAGGACATGGAGAAGATAGATTAATTAAGTCAGTCGGAAGATTATTCTGACGTGCAACGGCAATAATTTCCTTAGATGGACTATGAAGACGCTTTCGTTTAGACACACGGATATCCTTAACAGATTGCAAGGTATCTAAGCATTTGAATGATTTAAACACATTTTCATAATGCTTAAATTTTTCTGTCAGTACTGACAATTCCCTTCCTATTTCTGTAAAACCATCTCTGGTTTGCCTAAATAGCTTGAAAAGATCAACTTCGGTTGATCTGCACTTTACGCAAGACCAGCGAAGGCCCTTGCCATCATTAATAGCGTCCAGAATTCTTCCCGTCAAACCAGCACATTTCAGATGGTAAATACCATCACACAGCCAGCACGATAAGTAGCGTTCAGAATCGCTTTTAATGTGGCAAGTATCAAGATCGCACTTCATATTGAAAGATTTATGTAATAACACCCGTTAATAAAAAGAGAAACAAAATAAATTGTAACAATTAAGGAGCTGATGTAAATAGCTTTAAATAAATGTAGCGAACAGTTTGAGTATCACTGTAATTATGACACTTAATAAATGCAACGCAAACAGCTGTGACAAGAATTACTAGAAGAAGTAAACAAAAAGAGTACAACAAATGTGCAAAAACAAATGTGCAAAAACAAAATAAATTCAGTTAACTACAGAGAATACAACAACAATGATAGCAGCAAATGACTCGGCAACATTAGAATGTATGCTAGTGAAATTTAATTAAATTTAGTTTAATATAAAACACAATAACTTTCACTTAGCTTAAATTATTTCACACTAAGATGCTCATAGGCACTTTTTATCACTACTTTAACTCAGAATTAGCACAATAAATTTAGCAAATAGAAAGCCAAAATCAGTGCACAATATAAGTACAACCTCACAGCTTGACGTTTGCAAAGTGATTGACTATTTTAGAAAATAAATGTTCTTTTAGATAAATACCACATATTTGGCAACTTTCATAGACATTTTTGGAATAAGCGATGAGCAAAGTACAAAAAATGAAGAAAAATAGGAGCTCATAAAAATTTAACCGATGAAAACTCCCAACAAGCTAAAACGAACAATATATTGTTATACATCATTTTAAAGGTATATAAATCCTCCTTTCAAAACTTTTTCGATTTTAAAATCGGATGGAAAATAGTCAAGCAATTAATAGATAAGTGCATCAAGTACGAAAATACACTAAGTATTGTTTCGGATGTATTTCATGACTTTTTTTTTGTAGCACCGTGTTATTCGAAATAAAGTTGTTATTCAAAAAACTAAGTGTGACACCTCTTATTAAACACGCTCTACATATACATTTTTAGCAGCCCATTTATCTCATGAACAATATTTCGCAATGGTAAATTTAAAAAAAAACGTACTTACTTATGGATGCGAATGCATTGATCATGATGGCCTTGCGTTGCAATCATTACATCAGCTTCATCCAGAACAAATACTCGTATTTTTTTCAAATCGAAAACGCGGTATTTTAATCCCCAATCTAATATTTTTCCAGGTGTCCCAATAACTATGTGATCCTTTAGCTTGCAATTATGAGTAACTTAAATGATTTAAGAAAAATAATAAAGCTGTTTTTCAAAGCAAGAGTTGGCTTTACGTACCTTCTTCGCCACGGACTGCAAACTTTAGTTTAATATCTGGACAAAACTGCGCCATTCTAGCAGCAACCTCCCCCGTTTGAATTGCTAGTTCGTATGTGGGTGAAATACAAAGAACCTAAAATAATTAAATACCAAGATATGATATAGGAAATGTCACTGTAAACCAAATTATGTTATCTCTAAACATTATATTATAAAGCCTAAAAATGTGTATGTTCCCTTACAGTTCAGCTAAAACTGGACTCGATTTTGTTCCGTTTTTTTGCCAAATATTTCTTGAACCCTCCTCGTACGCCACTTTTAAACAGGGACCGTAACGGTTATGCTTTTTTCCAAAAAAGTCAAAAATAATAGTTTTTTTTTTCGATATGTTTTCAGTCAAAAATAAAAGTTACAAGTTGACTTTTATTTTTTTAGTAAAAAAAAAGTTAAAATATGACTTATTTTTTCGGTGAAAAATAAAAGCTAACACTTGACTTTTATTTTTTTGGTCAAATAAAAAAGTTAAAATATGACTTTTATTTTTTCGGTCAAATATAAAAGTCAAAACTTTACTTTTATTTTTTCACTCAAAAAAAAGAGATAAAATATGACCTTATTTCTTCGATCGAAAATAAGAGTTAAAATTTGTTTGCTGTAAGTGTAAAAGTATTACAAATATAATTATTCTATTCATTAATGGGCACGTCCAGAAGGCGCAACAGCTCAGTAACTGTTGCCATTGCACCTTCTGAACGCGTTGTTGTGTACTTCTGATCAACTGAACAGTTGCGTGTTATATGATTGTAATATTTTTCTGATCATTAGAAACAACATGTTGTTGAGAGTTGAATTTGACAGCTAATGCATCAAGCCGTTCAGAAGACGCATAACGATCACTGATATTTTTAGCAACGGTTGCGCTCAACTGCTGCGCCTTCTGAACCTACCCAATGTCTCATTTGCCTTTGCTTTGTTTGTCACTACCAGGGACCGTAACGGTTATAAGTTTTATTATAAAAATCACTTTTTAATCGTTATTAACTGAGTTTTATTTTTTGCTCGGAAAATAATCGTTACGTTTTAAGTTTTTTTTTTTGCTCGGAAAATAATAGTTATTTCTTGAGTTTTATTTTTTACTCAGAAAATAAAACTTAATTTTTGCGTATTCGTATGTGCTTTTTTTGCACTTTTTCTTTAGAAATGTGGTTCTTTTTGTTTCTGCCCTGGTATCTGTATTTTCATTACCCACTCCACAGTGGCGTTAAAGGTTCAATGCAGCCGCCCCCTGTCTATTCACGCATGCGCATGCGCATACGCACAAATTAAGTTTTATTTTCTGAGCAAAAAATAAAACTCAAGAAATAACGATTATTTTCCGAGCAAAAAACAAAACTTAAAACGTAACCATTATTTTCCGAGCAAAAAATAAAACTTAAAATGTAACCATTATTTTCCGAGCAAAAAATAAAACTCAAAACCTAACGATTATTTTCTGAGTAAAAAATAAAACTCAAAATATAATGATTAAACTTGATTTTTATAAGTAAAAATTAAAAAATAAAAATCAGTGCCGCTGAAGGTACTCCGAGTAATAAGAAATATATTGGTTTACTCCTTATGCACGTAGCATTTCTCTTTCCGCGTGATTTTTTGAGTTGAAATTTCAAAGGATAATCGTTATTTGCGGTCCCTGGTCACTGCACATTACAAACGCACATACTTTTTGAACTATTGTGCATTATTTTTACTAAAATTTATTTAAAATGGGTCGGAAAATGACTTTACATTCGCGAATATTACGTTGAAACTGAAGGTGAAACTAAATGTAAAATCTGCAATAAAGTTGCCAATTGTGGCGGCATAACCAATTTAAAAAGTGCATATGCCTCCCATGCGGATATATTTGCCGAGTAAAACAAGCATTGCAGAGTTTCAAAGAGAGATAAAGACATGTCGCAAACTGAGATAGTAGATGCTTACATCTATGTGATTACCAAAGAAGCTCGACCTCTGAAATTTTTTGATTCAAACGCTTTTAAAACCTTAGCCAATTCACTATTCAAAGGTTTGAAAATGGAAGCAATAAGTTCAAAAAACGTTATGAATTTTATTAACGAAATATTCGTAAAAGTTAAGCAATGCATATCAAATAATTTAAAACCAGGGACCGCAAATAACGATTATTCTTTGAAATTTCAACTCAAAAAATCACGCGAAAAGAAAAATGCTACGTGCATAAGGAGTAAACCAATATATTTCTTATTACTCGGAGCACCTTCAGCGGCACTGATTTTTATTTTTTAATTTTTACTTATAAAAATCAAGTTACGTTTTAAGTTTTATTTTTTGCTCGGAAAATAATGGTTACGTTTTAAGTTTAATTTTTTGCTCGGAAAATAATGGTTACGTTTTAAGTTTTATTTTTTGCTCGGAAAATAATGGTTACGTTTTAAGTTTTATTTTTTTCTCGGAAAATAATGGTTACGTTTTAAGTTTTATTTTTTGCTCGGAAAATAATGGTTACGTTTTAATTTTTATTTTTTGCTCGGAAAATAATCGTTACGTTTTAAGTTTTATTTTTTGCGCATAAAATAATCGTTATTTCTTGAGTTTTATTTTTTGCTCAGAAAATAAAACTTAATTTGTGCGTATGCGCATGCGCATGCGTGAATAGATAGGGGCGGCTGCATTGAACCTTTAACGCCACTGTGGAGTGGGTAATGAAAATACAGATACCAGGGCAGAAACAAAAAGAACTACATTTCTAAAGAAAAAGTGCAAAAAAGCGCATACGCATACGCAAAAATTAAGTTTTATTTTCTGAGCAAAAAATAAAACTCAAGAAATAACTATTATTTTCCGAGCAAAAAATAAAACTTAAAACGTAACGATTATTTTCCGAGCAAAAAATAAAACTTAAAACGTAACCATTATTTTCCGAGCAAAAAATAAAACTTAAAACGTAACCATTATTTTCCGAGCAAAAAATAAAACTTAAAACGTAACCATTATTTTCCGAGCAAAAAATAAAACTTAAAACGTAACCATTATTTTCCGAGCAAAAAATAAAACTCAGTTAATAACGATTAAAAAGTGATTTTTATAATAAAACTTATAACCGTTACGGTCCCTGTTTAAAACGAAGAATGTTTAGTCTAAAATGGACACGGCCACGCGAAGTGATCGGTCAATATTAGGTGTAAATGCTCAATTAATTATAAAAACGGAAATCGTAATATATATGTACACTTGCTATGGTTGAACTAAAAAAAAAAACATACTGCACAAAATTTGCAGTTGGAAATTCAAAATATACTTAAAAGATTTCGAAATAAACATTAAACAAATATACAGTGAAAGCTCTCATAGACGGACGCTCTAATAAGCGGACATCTATAAGCGGACACATTCTTGGGAACGAACAATTTTTGGCTTTTTTCCATACAAAATGCTCTCCCATACACGGACATTCCGATAAACGGATGCGGACACTCAAAAAAGTCCAGTTTTGAAAAAACAATCTCCCATAACAAGCCGCGAAGTTCTAACAAGCAGTCAATTTTGTTTTTTTTTCTGTCAGATGCTGCCTCTTGCGGTTGTA